TTAATCATCCCGCACATATAATTACATTTTTATTCTTCTATTATTATAATTCTATAGAATAATTTTAATTTTTAAATATTATAATTATACAATTTTACGATAAAGTTTTATAATTATATAAATTTTAATTTATTTAAGTTATATATATATATATATATTAATTTTTATTTATGTATTAAATGATATGTGTTTGTTATTACTAAATTACAAATATATGCAATTTAAATAAGTCAAAATTTGTATAATTATTATACTTGAAAGACTAAAAATTGCATAATTACGACATTTAAATAACTAAAATTGTTCAATTAAAAAATGAAATATCAAAATTTTATAAATATAATATTTGAGAAACTAAAACTATACAATTATTAAGTTTCAAAAACTAAAATCATACAATTATTTAAGCCTCAATTTAAGTTATATATATATATATATATATATATATATATAACTTTAATTGAAAGTACAATAATAAAATTATTATGTATTGTTGTCATTGTAGTTCTCTCCATTATGGTTAGCATCACCTTTATTATTATAATCGTTGCCATTTTACTACTATGACCGCTACATCCTATTGTTGGCATTTTACTACTATGACCGCTACATCATCACTTTTACTACACTGTCACCACATCACCATCATCGTTATCCACTACCACTCTCACCTCCATCACTATCGTTTCCATCACCGTTGTGTCATCATTGTCACTAGTAACAACAATAATGACAATGATAGTAATTATGGTGGTACCAATGGAAGTGGTGATGATGTGATGTTGAAGGTGTGTTAGAGGTGGAGGTGGAGGTGATAGAAATAACAACACCAATGATAAAAAAAAAATTATAAAGACTACAATACAGAATAACTTTATTTGTAATTTTTTTAACTAAATCATTTATTTTAATCTAAATGTTATTATAAGTTGTTCTCATATTAATAAAATATTTTCACGGCACTCTCTATATACATACATATGTATGTATGTATGTGTGTACGTATATGCACAAATAATGTAACTTAATTTAATGTATAATTTTACATGCATACATAAATTAATTAATTTTTTTATTTTTCTTCAATTTTAAAAAATTGTTCATTATAAGAAATACATAATCAACAAGTGTGTGTATATATATAAAAGTTTTGCTAAAAATTATTAAATCCATTTTAGTGATATATCGCCTGAAAAATAATTTCAAATGGTGAATTAAAGAAACAGTCTTAATGAAAAAAATATGAGTACATACAAGTGTGGCTCATTTACTTTTGGTTCGTTATACATGAAAAAGGAGGGAAAAGCGAAGAAAAGAATTAAAGTTATTTTTCACTCTTCATTTAGTAAAGTAAAAAAGTGTGCCAAAGAGAAGAGAAGAGCATATGAGTTGTGAAACTTTTTTCTTTTACACAAAAATGAGCAAAAGTGTAAAGAATATTACAACTAAATTGATTATGATATTTTTCTTTTTTTAAAGTTATAACAACTTTTCTTCCTTTCCTTCTATTTATTTTCTTTCCATTAAATACAATCGTTTGAACAATTCAAAGTTATAAGAATGAATAAAGATAAATATATTATTATATCAACTTTTTTTAAGAAACAAATTTAATTCAATTCAATAAAAATTTGTCGAACAATACAATAGGAGATGAGATTTCAATCAATAAGGCCAACTTGAAATTCAATTGCTTTGCCTAACATATGAGCAGTTTTAAAAAAATATTATATTATTCTATCCTTAGATTTACTCTCAATTGTTTGAAAAAATATTGTATTGATACGCCTCAAATATTATTCCTCATTTGTTTTAAAAAAATATCATATAAGGGGGGTGACTCTTAATTTGAACATTATAAAAAAAGGAGTTATGTGCAGTTTCATGAATTACCTATAATAAAGTGTGTTGTTATAGAAAATAAATTACTTGTAATAAATGTGTTGTTATAGAAAAAATCTACCTATCAAATTTAATGCAATATTACTCTAAAGTCTAAAGTAGTGTACAATAATATAGAATGTTATATGTTATCCTTAATAAACGCATTGCATTTGAATATCAATTGTAACCCTATTTTAAACGAGCCCTTTATATATATATATATATATATATATA